TTGAACGAATTATTTGAAACCTATTATCTAAGAATTATTGAACGAATATGAAACCTATTATCTAAGAATTATTGAACGTATTTGAAACCTATTATCTAAGAATTATTGAACGAATATGAAACCTATTATCTAAGAATTATTGAACGTATTTGAAACCTATTATCTAAGAATTATTGAACGAATATGAAACCTATTATCTAAGAATTATTGAACGTATTTGAAACCTATTATCTAAGAATTATTGAACGAATATGAAACCTATTATCTAAGAATTATTGAACGTATTTGAAACCTATTATCTAAGAATTATTGAACGAATATGAAACCTATTATCTAAGAATTATTGAACGTATTTGAAACCTATTATCTAAGAATTATTGAACGAATTTTTGATTTCGTATTGTCGTAGTGTCATTTTACGCAATCAAAATTATAACTGTAATGAAGCAGCGATTTCATGGAGCGCATGCTAATTATATTAATTGTATTCTGCAGAATTGCACCACCGTTCGTTGTGAAACAATAGAATGCCAGTTGGCGACATTACTGTCCAATCAGAATGTCTACATCCGTATCACTGGCAGAATCAAGGAGTCTACTTTCCTTGACATGAGGGTAAGCACTTAAGAAACACATACAAATTAAGCTCTCATTATTTTAAATTAATGCTTCTTTGTGATCTCGTGTAATCGTTGTATTTACAGGCAGACAGCTTTCCTTTCTATAGAGGTGGTTTCTCTGTATAACGGCCACTTTAAAGAAACGTGTGTCCTCTACAGAAAGAGTGTCCTTTCTATGGAGGCGACCGCTACTCGCTACCAGCAGCCATTACTCGGGTGCGAATGCTCTCTTGTTTCAGCCGCACGTGAAGCGCGTCGGCCTGCAGAGTGCAGCAGAGGTGACGATTACCAGCAATGTCGTGCAGCCGATGACTAATTATCCGGATGCTGCCATCGCCGAGACGGCGCTCGTCACGGAGATTGCTATCGAGGAGCAGGCGAAACCGGTCGCCTGGTGGATCTACCTACTGTCCATCCTCGCCGGCATCATCGTGCTCGCAATCATCGTCTTTCTCCTAGTCAAGGTAAGTGTTTCCTCTGTGTCTCCTAGTTAAGGTAAAGGGCGTCCTCTGTGTCTCCTAGTCAAGGTAAAGGGTTTCCTCTGTGTCTCCTAGTCAAGGTAAAGGGTTTCCTCTGTCTCCTAGTCAAGGTAAAGGGTTTCCTCTGTGTCTCCTAGTCAAGGTAAAGGGTTTCATCTGTGTCTCCTAGTCAAGGTAAAGGGCGTCCTCTGTCTTCTAGTCAAGGTAAGGGGCTTCCTCTGTGTGCAATTATCTTTCGAGACGCAGTGTCTTCGAACCAGAAATAGCCTACATTATGGACTCTTGATAATAAGGGATTATATACTGGATTATCCTTATATAAAGGATCCTATATTATAGGATGTTTATGCCTTAAACTGCACCAAACGTGCATATTTTGTGTAGGGGTTAGGGGCTAGGATTCATGGTGTATCTGTGGTTTGGGAGTCGGTTAGTGTGATTGTTTGAGGAATAGCAATTCTGGTTCAGATTTCTAAACATATAAAGTGATTACGTCACCGTAAATAGTAAAAATAGAAAAAAATATTTCCACTTTTTCACAAAATATAAGTAATTCTGTTCACTTTTTATGGTTAAATTGCTGCATTATACTTCCTGTTTTACTATATTGTTCGATGTGAACATACACTCGTGACTCATACATAGCCCATAGCAAGCAATTAATGTTGGGAACATTAATATCAAATCGTCCAGGTTTTTTGGATTTTTAACTAGTTGAGAAACAATCTTATCAGGTAAGAATTTGACGATACGTTTAGCCCCGTTAGTTCTTACATTTAATGTAAAAAAATGGCCACAAAAATTTTACAAATTTTACCATAGTAAATTCGTGACGTAGTCAATTTAACAGTTGCATGTGTCTGAAGATTATCAGCTAAGCTTCAAAGTCTGGTTTCAACTTGCAGTTTGGCTTCTTCAAGAGGAAAACAAAGGATGACTTAGATGATCTGAAGCGGATGAGTTTCAAAGAAGAGGGTGTAAACGAGGATGGCGAGGAACTTAAGGTAACTATGACGCACGATACCATACGATTAGAACTTTCTTATGGCTCCTATCGATATTTTCCAGATGGGATTGATCAAGGCATGTGGATGCACTGGATTTTATCGGTCATTTCAGATACCAAAGACGCTACTTTGCGCGCTTATTACCTTCCTCGTTTTCTATCTATGCATGAGCATGCCGTGCTCAATTATTTTTTTAGATCATATCCGTGCATGTAGGTCACTATTCTTTCCTGAATCTATTAAATCCTTCTCTTCCCTGCATTGTTCTCGTTCCTATACGTAATAAGTCATTATTATCCCTGCATCTATAAAATCTTTGCTATCGTTGCTGGAAGTAATAATTCGTTATTATTCCTTGCCATCTGCTAAGACCTTGGCGCTTTAACCTGCACCTCATTCTTATACTCGTCCCTGCATCTACTAACCCCCTAGTCACCTACGTACCCTGCTGACTTTTCAAGCTTCTCTGCTGTTTGCATGCGCCGCGTAGCATGTAGCAATACTTTGTGCTATTACAGACACTCAAATCTGGCGGCGATTCTGTAAACAATGACGACGACGACGAGTTCACTCCGCCCGAATACCAGGCCAGCATGGAGCACATTAACGCTGACAGTGAATGAACAGCGGCCTCTAGCGGTCCCCACAACACGGGGAGTCCCCCGTGACGTTACGAACATGATCTCTTCAAAAACCTATGTCGATCAAAAATCGAAGCTCACTTTAAAAAATGCAGTTTTGGTGCGCATGTGGCGTTCGCATTCGTAGGGTGCATCCGTATATGTCTTGAGATACATAACGGAGCATCGTTCCGAAAGTTACAAAGATGAACAATTCCAGAATATCTCACGTGGAACATGAAACCCAGCAGAGAGCAGCGGGGTTTTGTGCGCTTATCTGTGGTTTGGTTTTCGTGTGCTGTCACATCTTTCCCACTCATTAAGATGCATAATAGACGCCTCTTCTCTAGCTACGGATGTTCGTAACTCGTGGGACTCCCTGTTACTTCTAACTGCCACACTTGCGTATTTAGCTCGCGTGCGAAAATGCCAATTTGTGAACTTTTTGAACCTATCAGTTTGAATACTCATTAGTTTACCGTAGGTTCTACTTCAGAAACGCAGACGTTAATTCCAGGTGGAAATATTTATATGCCGATGACATCGTCGATCGCTGCTTACTGTTGATATGATTGTTGTGATAAACTGAATGCTTTAACAATGCTGCCTCCTGTTTTTGTACAGGGTTCTTCAGCCAAGATACACTGAGTAAGAGTTAAACACTGTAATTATATTTCCTTGATCTATCTAACACCGACTAATAACTTACTAATAGCAGATCGCACGTGAATTTAAAGGTGCAATCCCACGCAATCTTTGCCGAGCAATGTTGAAAGTTAATTTCGACTTCCTGCTTCGGACACATCCTGTATCCACGGCAGTTATATTATAGCAGGCAACGCAGAATTATGAGAGCACAATTTCATTGCTTTCTGCTACATGATGAAATATAGATACAATGATTGCGTTAAGAGATAATGCACCTCTAAATATCTGCATCTGTGTTCCAAGCCTCTGCAATTCTAAATCTCATTGCTTGCAAGCTGCTGCAATAAAACTAATGAACTAGTTGTAATATCTATCGCCAAAACATTTAGCGAGAGAAAGATTATGGCTTTATAGTACATGCACGTTCATGGTAACACCATGTAACTGTGTAGAATATGCAGAGACATTAAAAACAACCTCTGAAATATTACCTTTGGCAATTTAAATGAGTTTATTAATTGCTAGTAATAATTACTCCAGCCTCATTTTCTCTCAGCTAAACTAACAATGCAAAGAAGTTCTCTATAACGAGAACGAATCTTGATTGTGCTCAATTTATATAGTCAAATATAATTGCTAAATTACTGCATGTAATCTATACGTGGCAGCTCAGGCTAGCATCTAACACAGTTGTAACAAACTTGCTTCTTATATATAACTCACAAATAATCTTTGGCAATACCCTTAGTTTTTAGATTACATTCGATGGAGCAATAAATAGAGTTGCAATTAACTATTAGCATGAACATATGTATTACATATGTAAATAGTATACATATATTTTCATGCTATGACGTTACAGTAGTTCTGCTTTTAGTCTTTCAAAGATGCTGTAGATTTATAGCAAACAAATGCAGCGCTATATCTGCATTCTTTCTACGCAGCGATGGCGCAACGTTTTATTTTAAAAGTGCAGTTAATTTTTGACTCGTAGCTCAAATAGAGGTTTTAATAGTATCAATTATGTCAGAGTATTTTGAACAGTGTCATTGTGCAATTTCTATATTCACTGTTACGTGACGCTCTATTAAAAGATATAACATTGTGCTAATATTTTTACAGACACCTTTGTACAGCATGCAGAGCATACGAGTGCCTCGTTGTGAACTGTTTTTAATATATGTGTCTTCTTTCGAATATATGACAGCTAGTTGGAAACCAATAAAAATTCCAAATTGATAAGTATTTTTAAAACACTCTAATAGTCTCTAGTACAGAGAATTAATCTAGTTAGAGATAAGACGAAGTAGACCATTGCAGGGATGAATCACTTTCCATTTATGAACGGCAGTTTTGATATCAGATCTGAAAGCTGCTGATGCAATCTACGTGAATTTGTCCTGCTTCATTATTGGATATTTAATGTAGTTGGAAGTTTTAGATAACGTGCTTAGGCTAGATAGGCCTGCTTTCAATTTCAGAGTTTTAGTTTTTAGAACATTTTACTAGAGATAAGCACAATGGTAATATTTCTTGTGCTAGTCAGTGTAGCTTAATGATGCGAAATCATATCACAAAGAATAAACGAGCATGCTTACGAGATATTTATATTGTCTGTGTATATACAAATATATGTTTCAGACGTCCACATACTCACTTTTCCCCTGAAACCTGTACTACAGTATTTTATACCATTTGATAGTAGCAAATTATATATAATAATATGCCAAACTGTTATGCAGGCCTATGTAGCTCATACGATCAGTAACGTATAGACACCTTAAATTGTAAACAATGAACTTACATTCCATTATTTGTTTGATGACAATGTTTAAGCAATAATTTTTGTGTTCATTGTAACTTTTTACAAAGGAAAAGCGTGAAAACTCAAGCTGAGAGCAAGAGAGTCAGGCATGGCCAGTAAAACAAATAAAATGTAACCAATAATAGCGTTTTATAATTGTTGCGTTTGACAAGTGTTAGAATTCTAGAAATAACGATTATCTTTGCAATTTAGATTATTTTATATAAATGTTCTATTTGCAAGAAACTTTGCTAGAAATGACCACGTGCAGACAATATGCAAGGTTCATCTCTACAGGGTATGCTCAGCTCATTTCATGATTAAGGATGGATTTCAATAATGTAATTAAATTTATGTCAATGGAATGTCTTTGTACTGTCTTTGTCTATGCAGAATGGATAATGTATATGTCAGTTCTCACAAATAATAAAACTTGTAACTTTCAACTGCGCTCTTCCCTCCAATACAGAAAAGATGTAGACTCTACTATCCAGAAGTGATCTCTGCACAGAGAGCACTTTATTAACCCATACCTTTTGTTTTTAGGTGGTTCATGTTAACACCTCTGTCATTTAAGCCAGTGTATAAAGTTGCGCAAGTTAAATAAATCTTGTTCTGTAGCCAACTTTCCAATACTCTAGTTCATGTTGATTACCTTCACCACCGGCAGTAACAACAGGATAGTGTATGAATTGTTACATTAGCATGGCTATGTAATCTCATACTACAGACATTGCACACTTTCAGCGTGCATTCCAGGATACATCCCCATACAAATCCGCAATGTAACTCGCATGTATCAACTGCCTCTATTGATCAGCAGAACCAACATGGCCACCAGGTTTGGCATGCTAAGAATCAGAGTGCAACTCTGCTAAGAGCTTCAGTGATGCCAACAGCTGCCAGAGCTGTAACAGTTCTGCACTCGTACACGAACACTGTTTGGCTCCCTCGCACGGAAGACATGTCAAGAATGGCGAACAGATTCAAACAATCAGGTGCTAATAAAGTACCTAAAAATTGAACTCCATCGAATCTTTGGACGACAGCGGGAAGCTGCGGGCCATCTGTGACCTTGATCGGAGGCGAGGAAGGCTTTCTGGCTTCTCCTCCATCTCCGGGCGTGGCTGAGGGCCAGGTAGAGTTGCTGCTGCGATCCTCAGCCTCGTGATTCTGAGTGATAACATCGTCGCACATATACGTTTAGGCTTTAGTAGCAGCTGTGGCTAACTGACTGCGAACTTGGCGTGAGATCATTTCAGAGTTAATATTATATGTACGTGCATGCACGTTGAAGGGGAAAAACTAGCAATTTAAATGACAGGTGCTATCTATGCTTTGGATAAATTTTACGAATTATACTGTATCTCCTTACTTGTGCTCCAGAGCTGTCTTATATGCAAAGGTAGTTTCCTCCAAAGTGTCTATTTCGTCTGCTACCATCTTTAGGTGTGCACCTATGTTTTACAAACAATTACTTCTTGTAATGACTTATGATTATTGTTTTCACCATTCCCTTTTCCACTCTCATCATTAGCTTTAACATAAAACAAATATTTGCTACCAAGGAAGTTGTTACCTGTATGGAAAGAACACACTAATGTATTTAATATAACGAAACAACATCACTATGCCTAAAATATACCTGATACGTCAGAAGCCATGTCGCTGGTAGATTTTTTCCAAGCTGCCACGTTCGATTTAACAATTCTCTGCAAACATAAGCATGAATTAAATAGGTGTAACCAGGAGAGTGAAACTACCCATCACTGCTAAAGTAACAAAGGAAACCCTAGGCTGGCAGTGCAACTGAATGCCAACTAATAGCTTTGAATTATAAGATTGAATTGAGATGTTTTTCAGTGCAAATATTAAGATTCATACTCATCTATATCTATGTAAATATGAGCAATGTGAAAGGAGGAGGTGTAAATCAAAATGCTTGACTTACGTCATTCTTACACATTACACTTCATTTCACTTGCTGTAATTATTTAAACAGGAACAAACAAAACACCATTACCAACTAATCCCTCAGTGAAAAATAAAGATCGCTATACCTGATTTAGTACCATCAGTCTCGGTATAGCTTTCAAAAGAGCTTTTCGTGTAAGCCCCTTTACAGCAGGATTTCCCTTGACTGAGAGCTCCACTAGATTGGGCATCACTGCCAACGTTTTCTGAAAATAATTCACAAAGTCACCTGACAAGATCATTAATTAATTACCTAACAATGCTAATTATCAGTTACGCAAATGGAACCGTGTGCATTTCAATAAATACTTTAATTTAAGACAACGTCATCTGAATTTAAACTCCTTACTTAAAACCACCATTTCACACGTGCATGTTGCGGTTCATAAGTCGCATTCGAATAACATGGTAATAACAATAACATAGTAATAATTCATATAACTGCTGATGACTCCACACACCACAACTCCCTGAGTGTTCATCAGCATACATAGCCATCAGATCACCATCGTGATGGCGTGCGCGTCTGCGTTCGACTCACCAAGTCTTGCATGGAGTTAACTCTATTGTGGGACACGTTGAGAGCCTCTAGGTTGACGAACTGATCTCGCATCGTCGCGACCGAGTGCAGTCGGTTGTGCGAGATGTCTAGCTCCAGCAACGACGGAAGCTTCGCAGCGATGACGACATCCGACAGACGATTGTGAGACAGCCTCAAGATCTGAAAACACGCTGAAACTTGCGCAAACGAGGCAGCCACGGGACCATCTCATGACAGCAATTGTTATATTGATCGAAACATCTTCACGCTAATTTCGGCGAAATATACACTATGATAGTTCACTACGTGATTGTAATAATATGTGGTACATGTCAGGTAAATAATTGAATGTATAATGGAATGAATATAGACTATATACGTAGGTTCATGCCAATATCACATGCAGGAAAAGTACATACTACATATCAGTAGCTGACCGTTAACTGATTTAGATAAGAAGAAACATGAAATTCCAGACGAGAATAAAATCATATTTTACAGTCAGTTATGATCTCATAATTGTAATTGGTCCTGCCATGTGTCATACTTGCAATCGACCAGGAATTGTGTTGTATATACGTACTGTAATTCTCATGTGCCCCTGGAAGCCATCTAAGCTACATAGCCGGTTGTGAGCGATATCCAGTTCCTGCAGACGTTTGAAGTGAAAAATTCCTATCAGGTCAGTGACTCGATTCCTCGCTACATACAGATCATCCAGGCTTGGTAGCACTCTGAGAGCCTGTTCACATCAACAAAGAACACAGAGATATTGCGTTTCTATAAGTGACTCACATGCCATGCCTCATGTGTTGATCTAAACACAACAGTCACACCACAATGACATTTAACAAGAGGGATATAATAACTAATCCCCATATCATTAACCACGATTACCACTTACACCAAGCTTTCATAAGAGAAGGAAGTCTTTACTAATCATTTCTGTAGAGAAGTTAGGAAAACAAGGGTTAGGGTCGACACAATTTAATTAATGTGTAAATTCAACCCGAAAAAATAATCCACAGATTGAATGAATTGATTGCGACTGTAGGACGATGGTAAACATTAAATAGATTATAACCCACGAAAATAATAACAACGCTTCGTACATAAATCGACTTTATCTTGTTGTTGCTAATGTCTAGATAGTTGAGCATGTTCAGTCCAGCGAATTCACACTCCTCCAACCTCTCGATGTAGTTATGGTCCAGCCTCAGCATCCTCAGGTACTTACACGACGTTAGTACGGTTCCGACACGATGGATCCTGAAACAACAACCAGAACAAGGTTCTGATAACTTCAGGCCATCCTTAAAAAATTGTATGTTTGCTGCCCTCCGACCGACCCACGAAAAAAGCCGCGACCCAAGTTTTTTTTGACATTCTAATATATTTATGAATTATGTGAATATTGTGTCTTGCACTTGGCCTATGTGGAAAGATGAAAAAGAACCGTGTTGTAAGAAATAGGGTTGGACATCTAAAAAGTAACTAGTTTTAGCCTCATCTGAAACATAGTCCAGATGCTAGCTTGTAAGAACGCTTGATCGTCCGTTGGTATTCGAATCTACCGGCCAGCCAATGCGCCTAGCGCAGAACGACACCGAAGCACTGCTCGTCAAGAGCCCTGTGCCGCGGCCTGTCAACGTGCGGCTCAGTCCTCGATACACGCTTATAAACCGTCTCCGTCCGTAACCAGTCGACCGGGGGCCGAAACCCAAACCGTCATACAGTTGGGCACAAAGTCCTTACATAACCCGGCAAATTTGTCCCGAGTACAGGTCACGATATCGGACGTGGGGGTAATCCGAAAACGAGTTGGGAATGTCAGAAAGAGTCTGGGGGTCAAAGTCAATCAGGTTCAAGAGGATTAAAAATAAGGGGGAACATTCACTTCTTAACATAAGGTATAGGGAGGAAATGCAGAATGGCGGGCACAAATCTAAAATGGCTCGACTATGCTCCGTGACTTGTCCGGTGTAAAACTGCAATCATGGTAGAAAACCATCATTCGCAGTGACCGGAAATTGAGCTCACAAAGGTGCAAAGGTCCAATGGTGACAGGTGCAATTTTAGAAGCATTTTTCTGAGGAACATGGTACTTGACGAGCGATTGAAAAACTTTTTTTGTTTCCACTAGACGTACCTACCATTTTTATGGCTATTGAAAGGACCATGAAAATGACTTCCCACTGACCGTGTAAGAAGTAAAGTGCTGATAACCTTTTGACCCCTCAAGAGGAGGGTTAAACATAGTGATTGCTGGACTGGTCCCTCCGACGCGTTTAACAAAGGAGCAGAAACGTTCAGCGCGCTTTTGCTATAGAGCCGCGCCAGACCTCCCCGACACACCTCCCCCTCCCCTCCCACACCCCCTCCCCGCACGCTTCCCCCACCCCCCTGCTGCTCACCATACCACATCACTCCCTAACCCTCCAATTCTGCGTATGGGCGGTGTCCTAAGCAATGACTGTTCTACGCAACTGCGTGTCTGCATAATCTCCCTAAACAAAATGTGGTACTTACTCACCGACAGAAATTTTACGTTTATAATCGAAGCAGACAGACCTCAGATGGGCCCAGACGCCTGCTAAGCGCTCTTGTCGTTGTTCAGGTTTGCATGTAGACTTGTATTTTTTAATACTTTCTACTTAGTAACTTACTGCTAATTGTCAACTTTTAGCTTGTGCTAAAATCAACAAAGGACGGATCAGCAGGAAAAGTGAAGTGCAGGGGTAGGTGTCTCCTCATCAACTGGCTGCTGCCAATTGACTAAATTTGCCCTCCCTGGTCAAGGTATATAAACAGCTACATGCTGCAATATTATTAGTTTAATATTAATAATATAACTTTATTTTATAATAATTAGCTGAGCAATTATACCATAACAACAAATAGATAGTTACATTTAATTATATTAATTGAGTAATATTAATATTAATAATTAAATTGTTGGTATCGGTAATTTACTAACGCTTTATAATACTGCTGTAAAAACAATCAAACTAATAATTAGAACTCAGCTGCTAGTATACGACCAACCAAGTGTTGTCATTGCGATCAGAACACTGAATCGAACCCATGATGTTTCAGTTTGTGAACCTGCGCATACTTGATCTATCATGTAACCATCTCAGTGACATCGGCAACCTAACACGTTAAGTCCAAAACTATACAAGGATCATCATGCCTCTAGTA